TGTTTAAAGCATAGATTTTCTGTTTGGATTCATCAATGTGACATTATCTCAAGGTTAATAGTTTGGTGAAAGTGTCGTCTTGCATAACACAGAAACTGTGTTTAGACTGTATTTGAATAGTTTTCAATGTGTGTGCTGTCATTTGAAACCTCGTCATTGTCCACTTAAGGGATTCATTTACTGATACTTGACAGAAGTTGTGTTTTTTTTCTTTTTGTGCGATATGGTCATCTCTTTGGTTACTGGCTTTTATCTTTGCGTGATGATGGTTTATTAGGATTTATATTTCATTACGTTTTGAGCATTATTTAATTATCAGTAATGTAGAGAAAAGAGCTGGGTTGAAGGGGGGTAAATTGTGTTTTCAAATAACAAAATGATTTATATTCTGCTTTTTTGCATCCTCTCTGAAATACTATTCCTTCAAAGTGTGAGAAAATCTGTGGAAAATAAATGTTGGTTATCAAATTGTGATATGTTTGTCTTCCTTCTTGGTGATAACTGAGATGTAAAAGTAGCTTGATAATGTGTGGAGGGAGTACGTGTTGCCATTACCTGCAAACCCTTTCATTTTAACATGAGTAATGAACAACACATTCTCCTTCCTTTTATTTAACGTATCTCCCTCCAACACAGCTTCCTCCTTTCTTATCTTGTTTCCTCCCTAAGAAATATTTTCCGGCTGCTGTAACTCAATACTTTCTCTTCCTTAAAGTAAGAAATGGAAGTGTGTGGTTGATGGATATGTTGAATTGGAGCACATACTGTTTTCTTTAAGGCACTGGCCCACTTACCTGTAAACCACCATCAGTCATAAATAGTTTTTGCATTTCCTGCTGTTTTTGTCTTTCTTGCCTTCTTTATCACACACGTATACACAGTGTGGGTTAAGACTTCTGCGTCAGCTTTTTACTTTAGTGAAAAATGAACAAAGTTTGGTTGCATGGTTTATTAAAGGCTATTTTAGGTGATGCTCCAATAAAGGAAAAGGAAATGTTCCTTTTATTTTACTTTCGTTTCATTCAATCAAATGTGAAAGGATTGTTTTGAAACCAAAAGTGTATTCCAAAGAACACATTTTGAACAAGTCTAATGTTCATTCCCTGGCTGCCACCATTAAAAAGATAGTTTACTTCTCCATAGTTAGTGTTTTACTTACAGAGTAGATGCAGTTTAGACATCCAAAAGTTACATTTCAGTTTAAGTGTACACTCCATTAAGCTGTATTTACGCTTTTTAAAGACTCCAAAATCCATTGACAAAAACAGTAATTTTACCTTGCATAACACAGTAGCTGCAGGTCTACCAAAAGTCACTTAATAACAGAAAATACTTCCCCAATAGAGGAAGCGATAAACCATAAACTCCTGGGTTCTGCGAGGTCAAATCGTTGTTTTTTGTCAATAGAGTCTGGTGCATTTGGGCATATTTGTCCTGCTTGTTCTACTGTCTGTTTCTACAAACTGCATCTACTATAGGTGGTACACTGACTCTGGAGAAGTACCTTAAACAACCACACTTCAAGACATCACAACTATCCCTAGCATTGAATAGTTTGTTTATTTATTGATTTAGTTTTGCTTTATTTTTGCTATATATATCCTAAAATACGAAAGGTGTGATTAAGTTTGCATGTGGCTGATTTTATTTTTGCACTTGAACCTACCACACAGGGTTGAAGGTGGCTGAGAAAACACATGTGGAACATTCACCTAAGGAGAAAATGGGTGAGACACACACACACACACACACACACACACACACACACACACACACACACACACACACACACACACACACACACACTTATGCCAGCTCCACCCTGCTTCANTTTTTGCTATATATATCCTAAAATACGAAAGGTGTGATTAAGTTTGCATGTGGCTGATTTTATTTTTGCACTTGAACCTACCACACAGGGTTGAAGGTGGCTGAGAAAACACATGTGGAACATTCACCTAAGGAGAAAATGGGTGAGACACACACACACACACACACACACACACACACACACACACACACACACACACACACACACACTTATGCCAGCTCCACCCTGCTTCAATTTCACATTGACAATAAACTGAAATACAATGAAGCTACTTCATTTTTGTGTTACTTTATATGTCTACTGTTCTACATCTCAGAGGCAAATACTTAATACTGAAATACATTTTCTTTAGTTTCTTTACAGAATCAGACTAATTCAACCATAATCAACAAATAAATGATGATATTATTATATTAATAAGACGTTATTGTTCCCCAGGGGATGCAAATATTACCCAGTAGCACATCAAGTAATGTAAATGTGTAATGATCTGTCATCTTATCGATTATTCCGTGGACAGAAACATAAATTAATGCATTTAAACAGTTATCAGGGCAACACCTCGAAAGCCCCGTTCAAGGAAATTAAATGTATATCCTATATTTACCTTGTCTGCCTGCTTTCCTCTCTTAAAGTTTTAAAAACCAAAGATGCAACCAATCAGCACGCAGCAGCGCCAAACACCGTCACCCCAACACAGGAGACAGGTGTGTGTTGTTAACATATTAACAGATATAAAGTAATTTAAGTAAGTTACCATAACTGAATGCTGATCAAATATTTTTTAAATGAGTACAGTGTATTAAACAGACGTTCATAATTGATTTCCAATGTTTATTTCTCTCTTTTTAATGTCAATAATCATATTATATGTATTGTTATTTTTTTGTTTATTACTGTTACTCTCAGTGTTTACATTTCTGTTATTTGTCAGTTTCAGCGAGCAGCCTTTCATCTGTGTTCAATGATGATGATGATGATGATGAAGGTATGTACTAGATAAAGACAGAATAATAACAATTAGTGAAGAATAGAGATATTTATCACTAACTGATGAAGAGCAGCTGCTTTTTTTAAATTAAACGCTGTGTGAGCTGCTGTGTCTTTGAATGCTGCTGCTTTGTTGCACTTTTCCTTTATTATTTGCTTGTTTTAAAAAAACGTATTGAACATTTCTATTGTATGTGAAATGCTTGTGCCTCACTAATACAAGTACAATACGTGATATGAGAAAGGATGTCAGGTGTTAAGGGATATTTGTCAAGTAGACATTATAACTATGTCATTCTCTGTTTACCTGCTGCAGGACTAAATATTAATAAATATGTACTCAGAATATTATAATTATTTGTATACGTTAGGTTAATCTTGTTTGTTTCTGTATCTCCAGCTGCTGTACCTCTCCCTCCAATGGTGAAAGATGACTTTGTGCCAGGTACGTGAAACAGTATTCGGATCTTTGCAGGAAAAATACTTCACTAAAAGTACTGCATTCACTTAAGTACAATTATGTAAAATGTAAATGTTTTTATAATATGTATGTTTTTGTTACAGATGATCCTAGAGACAGCATTCATCCTTATGGTGAGTAAACTCTTCTTCTCTGTTCCCTGCTTTTTACGTTTACCTTTTTTTCTAATAATTCACTTTTTTTTCTGCTTATTTTAGACGGTGAGGCTGAAACCATAGACACAGCTGGAGGTGAGACTTTGTGAATTTATAAACTCCAATATGAAATGAGCAGAAGGAGATGTTGTAGGAATGTGTTTTATCAAGTGGACTACAGGGCAGTGGTGGGAGAATTATTAATATTCTTGACTTTAGTCAAATACATTATAAATTACTTTAGTGACAATAAAATTATCTAAAATGTCTAATTAAATACAGATCTTGAGTAAATGTGATTCTGTCTCCTGCTGCAGTTCTAGTAGAGGAGAGGCTTCCAGAGGAAAGTGTAGGTGAGTCTAACAAAATATAAATACATCATATAAAACCCAATAATAATAAAGAAAAAGAGTTTAGGCCAAATCATTGACTTAATATATATACATATTCTTTCTCATCCAGTAAAATGCAGGTTAAAAGCCAAAAATAAAACGATAGGTTACTTACGTAACCCCAGTTCTCAGAGTAACATGAAGTGAGATGTCTCACTATGGGATGCGCCTCAACGCGTATGCACCAGAAGCATCAATCTCATTACGCCAATCC